TGGGTAGACACTTAATGTAAGTGTACGTGGATTTAGATAACTAACATTTAATTGGGTGTAACACGTTAATGAAGTGTACGTGGATTTTGATAACTAACATTTAATTGGGTGACACTTAATGAAGTGTATGTGGACTTTGATAACTAACATTTAATTGGGTGACACTTAATTAAGTGTATGTGGACTTTGATAACTGTAACATTTAATTGGGTGACACTTAATGAAGTGTACGTGGACTTTGATAACTAACATTTAATTGGGTGACACTTAATGCAGTGTATGTGGACTTTGATAACTAACATTTATTTGGGTGACACTTAATGAAGTGTACGTGGATTTTGATAACTAACATTTATTTGGGTGACACTTAATGAAGTGTATGTGGACTTTAATAACTAACATTTAATTGGGTGACAATTAAGTGTATATGGACTTTGATAACTGTAACATTTAATTGGGTGACACTTAATTAAGTGTACTTGGAATTTGATAACTGTAACATTTAATTGGGTAACAATTAAGTGTACATGGACTTTGATAACTAACATTTAATTGGGTGACACTTAATGCAGTGTACATGGACTTTGATAACTAACATTTAATTGGGTCACAATGAAGTGTATGTGGACTTTGATAACTAACATTTAATTGGGTGACACTTAATGAAGTGTACATGGACTTTGATAACTAACATTTAATTGGGTGACACTTAATGAAGCGTACATGGACATTGATAACTGTAACATTTAATTGAGTGAAACTAATTTTCAAAAATGGTACAAGGCATGTCGCAAAACTTTTTCAAAGGGATTCTTAGTCATTGCTGGATACTATACTATGCCAAGGGCAAATTAAGTATATGAAGATTGGATCCAAAAGTTAAGGTGTGTTCTGTTTACTATCAAATAAATGTACCACTTTGTACCATACTGAAATAACAGGGTTTGTACAAAAAAATGTATGGATTCCAAGTAGCTGGAAAACTAAATGGGTGTTCATCCTATTCCATACAAAGATATCTGTCCTATTGCTAGAAGCAACATCTATGTGACTGGACTGTTCAGGTCTTCAGTTACCTTTTCAGGTGACAACGAAACGAATAACTGCACCTGCATGAGGTGTAGGAGTTGGTGACATCACAGTCAGTGTTATTATTATTATCCACTGGACAAGGAGCAGCCAATGTACACAGTAACTTGTGAAAAGTATAACAATCCAACCTCGTTTTTAATGGAAGGAAAAACAAATCATGTTCACAGTGTTTTAAGTTGTATAAATATGGCCATTAAATAATTTGAGGATTAACAATTTAACAAGGAGAATAAAAGCCAAGTTGATACCGGGCATCTATAGCCATCTTTATTTGTGAAATTAAATTTTGTAACAAATTTGAGAACAAATCGACATTATTTTCTTCATGGCAACACTAATTCCTTACACCAACTTTATATAACCAACTACAATAAGATAAAAAGATTAAATTGTGTTAGCATTTAATTTTAAAAAGTTCCAACTGTTTATGCACCTAATTTATTTTTACAAATACAAAACAATATTGAATGTCTTTTATCCAGGAAATTCCATGCGTTACAAATAATTAAATATTACATTAAAAGCACAACTAACTAACAAAAAAAAAATTTCAAATTGTAATATTCTTGGAATTAAGAATGTAAAATTCTTAATAGTTTTTATCTAGTGGTTCCTACTCCATTTCCTAATCACTTTAATGGAACCAAGATTATAAATGGATGGCAGTTTTCGTAAAGAAATACCTAAATGTTATACTTTATTTCATTCTGGTAAATCAAGAGAGTATGAAAATATTGCGACATGTTTGGTTGAGGTACATAAACCGACAATAATAACTGTATCACAAATGTTTGGTTAAGGTACATAAACCGACAATAATAACTGTATCACAAATATTTAACTTTCAAATGTATAAAACATCTTTCCATAACTGAAAATGTAAACCTTAAAATACTTGAGCAACTTCATAAAAACAATTTAACGACTGAGAAGCGAGAGAGAAAAAAATATTTATCAATGAAGTATCTTAAAATTTTGATCACACAATTTATTTTTTTCTCTCCCAAGGTGAAACTTTAAGTACAAAGACGGATTATTTAATAAAATCTTTTCTTTTAATTTCTAAGGTAATAATAAATATTAAAGCAGCAATTTGTGATTGAGATAACAAAAAGACTGATTTTTTATTGATTAATATTTAACAAAAGTCAACTACCTGTTTCATTAATCCTTCAACTGGGTGAAATAAATGTCCATTATGATAAAAGAAATTAACATTACAGGAGGTGACCAACTTTTTAGTCATGCCCAGCTCATCTCATTAGTATGGGAGGTATATATATATATATGCATTGTGACCCGCATAGGCTACGAATGCTTGGTGGGGAGAATGTCACCCTCCTATGAACACCAGTTTTTCACAAGTGATTCATCAATCAAGAGTTAATCAAGTTTAAGAATAACAAAGTAAACATTTACGTTGCTAACATAATCCCGTCTGTATACTGTAATTATCAATTAAAACCATGAAAAATACCGATTACATAAAAAAAACCGGTTTTCTAGCAGAATTACAAATCATACAGAGAAGATCAAAATGCTATATTTAAAATAACTAACTGATAGTAAACAAAAATTATTTCATTTACTTGTAATTTTTTACTGAAAATTACAATACATAATATTACTTCAAACTGTAAAATGATGCAGATAAATAAATTGGAATATACCTGAGAAATGAATTTAGATGTTCCTGACAGTTTTAAATATCAACCTATGTCTATGAGAGTAACACTCATCATCACAGTACAGTAATGCGAAACTGATTGTTTATTATGATTTAATGCTGACTACTAGATCCTTGTTTAACCTAGAAAGAAAAAAAGGATAGTAGCACATAATAAAAAAATACTATTTCTATTCACAATACAATGTATGAATTTCAGTTCTCTGAAAGACATGCGGATGAGAGGTGAATAACACAAAACTTTATAAATCATTATTACCTGAAGCACCAAGAATTTTAGTTTATGCTATTACATTTGATCCAAAGACTATCTGGGTTAGCCCAATTTGACTGTTTTAACCAGTAAAAATGAACACCATTCTTATCCTGTAAGAATAACCCAAACCTCCTGGTAATAGAATACATCTTTGATGTATTAAAATATATCTCAAGAAGATTTCAATGGCCCGTGAATTATAAATGTCTAACGATTCAAGTCTGATAAATAATTGACGACCCGATGCTCAGTCTCGTACAAAAAATAAACCCATTTTTGGAATCCAAATGTTTTTCAGCCTTTTTGTTTTCATATGTAGATCAAAAACAGAATGTGACAAAGTTATGGTGTTATTACTTTTAGTATTTTCATATTTGACCAACTATTATTTACTACAGAAAAAAATACAAATTTTCTTTTACTGCTATGCAATCTAAAACAGGAAAGCAGTTATAAGCAAACAAAAACTAGGAAAAAAATTAGCATCTTAAAATTACATTTCTCGCATTATACAATTAAATGAAATACAATGTTAAAAATCATTACACACTAAATAGTTATTAAAACAAGAACTTGCCATAAAAAGATTTTTTTTTAGGGCAATTCCCCGTTTTAATAACTTTGTGTTATGATGGTTTTAACATTGTATTTCTTTTAATTGTATGTATGGATGTTTTACATAAGCATCATTTGTGTTGTTATATTTTTGTGCAAAAATAACAAGCTCATTTAAAAAAAATTTTTCTTATATTTTCGTATCGAGCCCACTATTATCTATTAATTAAAAATAACCCAGCATCTATACGTTACATTGGTTATTCATAAAGTGTCACTATCATCTTTATAATGCAAAGCTGGACAATTGGCTAGCTTTGCTCTATTCACTACGGGGAATCCTTAAATTTATGCTCATGTTTGAAACAAACCAACTTTCTATATACCAAAATGGTGGGTTTACATATTTTCTTAAGCATTTATCAATATTAAAAAAAAACTGTTCAAAGACGATACATTTTGAACATAGCATAGAGAAAACTATAATACCAATATTAAAGCTGGTCTTAAAAATTGTTAAAAAAAAAGACGAGAAAATTAGTGGGTAAAGAAGCTAACCGATGATCTGCAATTTGTGTGCTCAATTTAATATTTACATAAACTAAACCATGAACTAAATAAAATACTGAATCAACTAATACAATCACCTACTGCAAGCATCTTGTGTTATCCCTGATTTGTCTGTACATAAAATTATGCAGAAAAATATTCTCCCTATATAATTACAAAGAAAAAATTGTTAACTATAATTAGTAAGGAATCTACCTTCAGTAAGTGGCTGATTAAATCACAGCTGTTGTTAATAGTGTCTAATATTACCTACTTTATTCCCTCGTCACTTGGTAAGCCTACTTATTAAATACATACTAGTAATCAAACAAGTATTACAGGTTTCACACGTCCTCTGGTGTACCAAGTAAAGTTATCACCATTCTTTTTCCCATTTAAACACACGCTAAAATTTTTTCTACTGCCAACTCAGTTAGTCAGTTAACTCACTCACTACTGCTAGTAAACCTAATGGCCACAAAACTGAACAAATGCTTAAAAGACACTTTCCTCAACGTATGAAAGCAGTTACAGAGTGATATAACACTTTTAACAGAAACCTATAAACAATACTGAAACTTTTTTCTGGGAAGGACAAAAGAGTAAACTACATATATATAAAAAACAAAAGTCTCTAAGGCCTAAAATAGCCTATGCTGGATCAAAGTTGTAAGAAACAACAAACTAAATTTCATTGTAGATAAACTTCAATGGTTTATAAATTTCTCCTATTAAAAAAAATTGCTAAAATGTCACAACTTTATTTTTCTTAAGTGTTTGTGTTGTGTCAAGAAGCTTCTCGCTGTTCCCAATACTCTGTGGTCTGCATCTCAACAAGTCGAGAAATAGTTCGATCAAATGCAAAGACTTCTTCCTCACCACTGAAAATACTGGCTTTGCTACTTTCCTGAATAGGAAACAAAAAAAATTCAGTCACACAAACGTTGAGATTTACTTTATCTTCATAATATACATCAAACCAGTAATGATTACCTGGTTAATCTTGTGAAAAGCTTTAGCTAGTCCTTCTGTTTCTTTGCCTTACGTTTCAGCCATATTACCTTGTTTGTGTAAACTAGTCTTACTTGTCTAACAACATATTCACTGATGTTTTTCTTTCATTTCTTGTCACTAACCACAATTTTTATTCACATCACCTTAAATGTGTTTCTTCTAAGTCTATTACTAAGCCTTCCACTTGATTTAGGTTGGATGTTAAAATAATGTTACGACAGCGGGGGTCACGTGACGAGTATTCTAGAAGATTCGCGATAAACGATAGTGTGTTACGACAGCGGAAGTCAAGTGACACTGGTAGCACGTGTTGAGAGCCTAGAAGATTCTAGAACAGGCGATATTATCGTATATACGTGCGCTAGACAGAGAGAGAGTGGGGAACCAAGGACAGCGGTTACGGTCGGCGGGAACTGAGGATAGCAGATACAGATATTGAAACTATAATTGCTGACAGGCGGAGACGGACAACTGAGTCAAGCGCGGTAGAAAGTGAGTGAATTGTTGTGAACTATAGTGTGTGTAACTGTGAAAATTAAGTGTATTACAAAGTTGTATTGAGGAAGAATAAACAAGTTTTATTTAAGGAAGGACTGGTATCGTAGAAAAATTAACAAACAAACATACAGAAACGTAACAATAAATTATAGTATTAATAATCTTGCTATCACAGATACTGCATCACAAGTTCTTCAGATTGACTAGTCATACATAATTTCACTGAGCTGCTTGTTTAACTATTCCCATAAAAATAAAAATTACATAAAGCAGTACAACTGTTCATCTCTAAATTGTCAACCTGAATAAAAGTTTGTACAAATCAGTACTTGCATGGAGAATTGTACAAATCAGTACTTGCATGGAGAAATGTACAAAAGCTTTTCAGTATGTTATCTGTTACACAAGCCCAAAGTGCAAACCTAATACACCAGCCTAATGTAAAACTTATCACAGCAGCATGTTGCAATATTTCGACATCGGGTCAACAAATTTAAACCTAATACACCAACACAAGCCTCTTTAGTTCTGCTGTGGAAGCAAGAGATATCTAACACTAGTACAAGAAGAAGAATTATAATGCTAGATAAAAGTTTGTATCTATTACGCCAGTCTAAAGTAAAAACCATCATGCAGAAAGAAGTAATCGAAGGCTTGTGTACCAGTCATCGAAATATCATAATTAGTTTGACGCTTAAATATATAAACTTCTAATCTTTGGTAACGTGAATTACACACACACTATATTAATAAGGTAAAAGTAAATAGCACGGTTTCCTACTGTTTCTTGTTGCGAGTTATCAAATTAACAGAACATACAAACAATAGCTATATGAAGTAAAGACATGGGGGGGCTAAATATCAATATTTTTATCATCAACATATTTTAGCAGGAATGCCTTCCCTCAAATGCACTAAAGTATCTGAACAGGCATGCCTCTTCAAACATCAAGTTTATAAAAAAACGTATTTCTAAATGGTAGTTACATTACTCTGCATTATTTATTCAGTCATTTCCTAACATTAATGACATTTTACCTCGTCATATTTCCATGATGCAATTATATTACTTTGTGTTGTTTATTCTTCCCGTAATGATGTCATTTGAAGTAAAACTGTTTTTTCACTAAAACTACCATCACACTAGTAGTTCAATCAGCTGGGTGTTTCACCATACACTACTTACTGAAGACTGGCTAATGTCAAGGTCGTCCATTAATTTCCTATTTTCATCTTCAGTTACCTCAGTATCTTCCACTGATACAAACAACTTTTCTGGAGGAACGTCAGCTGAACACAAGATTCTAACCTACAAGTATTGATATTTCTAACATTAACAGGAGATACAACCTACAAGTATTGATATTTCTAATATTAACAGGAGATACAACCTACAAGTATTGATATTTCTAACATTAACAGGAGATACAACCTAAAAGTATTGATATTTCTAACATTAACAGGAGATACAACCTACAAGTATTGATATTTCTAACACTAACAGGAGATACAACCTACAAGTATTGATATTTCTAACACTAACAGGAGATACAACCTACAAGTATTGATATTTCTAACACTAACACAAGATAAGTGTCAATATTTCCCTAAGTAACACAAGATTCAAACCTAAGATCATCATTTCTCTCATTACCACCAGGTCTGAACCAAGCTTCGTCATTTCTCTTATTATCATGATAAGTTTTTAGAGAATGCATGATGAACTCTTGAAATATTCCCACAGTTGAAACCAGTGATATTATTTACTTATGTAACTACAAACTATAATACCCAACCATTCAAATTAAAGACAAAATATTCATTAACCTTATGGTCGTAGAAGGTATCAATGAGCGTAATGAACCGTCGAGCTTGGGTTTTCTGTCTCAGGGTGAGTTGCGGTATATTTCTGATGATAACTGTATGAAAAACTTGACTCATGCTTAAGTAATCAACAGCACCTAAAGGCTAGACAAAAGAAAAATACTAAATTTAGTAACATACACGTTAAAAAACATTCTACAGGTTAGCAAGACTCGGCTGAACACATTATTGAAAATTATTGAGGACGTGGAGAAAAAAACGTTTAAAAGTGTCCATGTTATAAGAATTTTTACATTCTAAAAAAAAACAAACAAAATATTGGCTCTCATTTTAGGTGGGTCTGAAAACTGCACAAATTTTGGTTTAATACCAGATTTCCATGTAGTTCTAAATCTCTGATAATATTTGTAAAACTATTTTTTCCAATACAGCAAATAAATGACGATGAAGCTGCAAGAAAGCGAACTGAAAGAAAGTAAAGCTCTCTTTCAACAACTACAAGACATAAAAGATGCAATTTTTTTCTTCTCTACTATTTGATTGGCTCGTTCAAATATTAAATTATATTGATAAGACAAAAACTATAAAATATGAGCTTTTCTTTTTAATACAATTTCAAGCTCATATTAAAATATCAAATAAACGCTTAAATATTTTTTTCTTATTTGCACATATTTTGGATTTTTATAAACTTCATTTTACGATGTATAATATTTCTTTATTTTCTCACCTTATTGTTTAAAACGCTTTAATATTTTATATCACGCTTAAAGGAAGTACAAGAAGGTAACAGAGTAATGAATATTCAAAACAGCTTTATCTTAAGAACTGCTTTGAACTTACTTTGAAATAATTAAAATGTTACAGAATATAGATAAAAAAAAAAGTTCCACAGCTGCTGTATCCGGACATTTCTTTCATGGTAAAATTATCACCACATCGTCCTTTTTTAAAATACGTTTTTGTACAAATTATGCACCAAATTGCTTGTAGGTCCTTTACTGTTGGTCACAAAAACATAATCTCTACCACACTAAATACTCTCAGTGCCCCCTATGTATTTTACATAAAAAAATGAAAGATTTTTACCAACTTGTTTTATGACCATCGTAACAAGTAAAAACATAAAATTACTCAATATGTGAACCCAACACGAAGTAAATGGTATAAATACAAGCTGGTAACTTGAGGGTTACGATAAAAAAGAAAAAAATATATAATTGTGGAAATAATCCACTTACAAAATGTAAAAAAAACAAACTCATTTTGGTGGTGCCTTAAATGTAGAAAGATACATTCTCTCAGAGGATATACTTACTCTGTTACAAAGTTCGTCAAAGCTGCAGTCAACAACCTGACCACATGTAATAGGAAATGTAACATTTCTGCCCTTAATCCTCAGGATCTTTCTTCGGACAACTAAGAACAAAATGTGCAAGAAATTCACGTCCTTACTAGTCAACATGAATTCCACTGAGGCCTAGCTATACGATACTTTAAAGACAGTTTCTGTGAAGTGAAAGTGAATTTCAAATTTGGCAATACTAGTTTAAATTTCTCTAAGTATATTCAGCTCTTCTTGTACTTGTTACAGATTTCATATAAAACTAGAATGAAACTAGTTCACCTGGAAAAATGAAATCTTTATTTCCAAGTTAGTTTGATTACTAAAATCCCAGTTTACACAAACATCACATATAACAGTTATGAAACACTCACAGAAAAACTACAAAAACATCACATAAAAAAGTTAAAACTCACATACTTACAAAACATCACATAAAAAGTTAAAAACTCACAGAAAAACTAAAACATCACATAAAAAAGGTAAAACTCACAGAAAAACTACAAAAACACCACATCAAAAAGTTAAAAACTCACAAAAGAATTACACAAGCATCATATAGTTAAAAACTCACAGAAGAAGTACACAAACATTACATAAAAAGTTAAAAACTCACAGAAGTACACAAGCATCACATAAAAAAGTTAAAATTCAGAAGAATTATACAAACATCACATTAAAAAGTTCAAAACTCACAGAAGAATTACACAAGTATCATATAGTTAAAAACTCACAGAAGAAGTACACAAACATTACATAAAAAGTTAAAATTCAGAAGAATTATACAAACATCACATTAAAAATTTAAAAACTCACAGAAGAATTACACAAGTATCACATAAAAAAGTTAAAATTCAGAAGAATTATACAAACATCACATTAAAAAGTTAAAAACTCAAAGAAGAATTACACAAGTATCACATAAAAAAGTTAAATTCAGAAGAATTATACAAACATCACATAAAAAAGTAAAAACTCGCAGGAAACGAGATACACAAACATTTAGCTACTCAATTAAACATAACTATTGTTCCAAAAACATAGAAAAGAAACAACACAATTCTTAATATACAACTTTCACATATGTATAACATTTGAATGTGGGAAATACATAACTTGAGTACTCATTAAGCCTAATTGATATTTGAATGTGGGAAATATATAACTTGAGTACTCATTAAGCCTAATAAACGTGTTTGCAACAAACAAAATTGAGTATCTTCTACTGCTTACACGCTGCATTTGGAATGACTGTGATGGGTCCAGTATAACTGTTGATTTACAGCCTAATTAAGAGATAAATATATAAAAAAACAAAACATGCAGCCATATTTAATTTTCATAACATATAAAGGGCTACGTAACAAGATTATAAAGTAACAATTAATTGGTTGAACTCACTGCCTAAAACTTAAGAGAAGGAAATGAGCAATTCATTTTATCTCAAAAGCTTCTTTTCAGAGTAATTATAAAAGAACTTACTATCATTTTCTTTGCTACACAAGATTTTGAAAATTGTGTTAAGAGAATCGTCTGTGTCATCCTCAGACTTTCTGTAAATAAAAAAAAAAAAAACTCACGCGGCACCAATACCTTTACAAACCAATAAATATTACATCACACAAAAACATGCACGTTACTCATTACTGTGTTTATTAAAAGGGTTAATGAAATTCTTAACAAAATTTATTAAACTATGTCGGACATATTTTCACGAAGAAAGTTGAAGCACTCCCTACTTCTGTTATCTTTTGTCCCACCATATTTCTACTTCTTTGCTATATTTTGAAATCACCGTCGTAACCAAATGTTCACTAATTCTGCCGAACCAACCCCTTATTAGATAAGGAATATTGACCAAAATTCCGAATTTACTAATTGTATCTACATGAAATATGGCAAACTTTTAGTAAAATGTACAAGTCTGTTGTACACAAAAAATAAAAACAGTTACAAAGGTACTTGTACTCGAGATATGTCTGTTAACTGACAACATCAGTCTGACTGACTCGGACAAGTCAGAGTACAAGATTCTGTTCATGTGAAGGATAAAAATACTTTTGTCCGTTGTGAAGTTTGTGTATTGCATTTGCATAACCTTTAGGTCCTCTGAAATACATATCTACCATTTTATTCAGTATTTCTGTCTGTTGTACCTTGTAATTAGTTTCCTCTGTCACGAACCATTGTTAAATCAGCTATGTATGGTACAATAAATAGCTGATAACCCTGACATCAAATCATAATGGCACCCATAAAACATCACTTGGACCCTACTCTTTTCTGACAGAATTTAAATACTTTTTTGATGTTCTTTATAAATACCATGTTGTGGGTAAAACAGATTGTATATGTTTAGATCTACAAAACATAGACTAACCCATACTACTCAAATTAATCCTTAAACACGTTTGAGTTTCAAACATATTTCCTTCATGAGCAAATTTATATCTACAGAAAAATCAGAATTTGTTTGTTTTATTGTTGAATTTAACGCAGGCCTACTCTAGGTCTGTATACGCTATTCATTCCTAATTTAGAAGTGATAAACTACAGGGCAGCGTAAACACTAACAACCACCACCACGGGCTATAGTTTACAAATAAAAAGTGGGGTTACTATCACGTTATAACACCACCACCATAGCTGGAAGGGGTAAGCATGTTTGGTGATGAGATTTAAGCCCTCAGCCTGCAGATTGCAAGTTGAGAAGCTTAGTCGTGCTAGGCCTCAGAATTTGTTTCCTTCACAAGATTCAATAACATATCTTTTCAAAACTCAGAAGCAACTTTAACGACATTGACCTGAAAGGTCAAACTAATTAAAAGAAAATGAATTAAGCAGGTTGACAGTGGTTTCAACAAACATCTCTAGTTGATTCTCTCTCTCTTCTTTTTTATCAAGTTTAAAATGTTTTGTACAACTAAAGACAAAAAGTACCACAAAAACAACTTTATAACACACTATTAATGAATTCATTGCCTGGGGCCTTGGATAGATGAACAGATAATTGATTTTATGGTCCTGAAAAACACTTTAATGAAATTATAAATAATAAAAAAAAGCTCTTTAAGACAAATTTTTACAGTATTTTCCAGTTAGAATAGTGAATTAACCTCTAAGCCTTTTTGGAAAAATGTTTCCAGTATAAACTGTTGTTAAATATATCTTTTTTCATCACCGTTAAAGTCTTACAAGGTTAAACCACTTTCAAAGACAAAAAATACGTATTCTTTTCTATATTTTCTTTTCATAAACTCTAATGAGATAGATGTTTAAAGAATCAGGAACAATGCAGCATCGTACTTACAAGAAGTACACTTTCTGTCTTACAGCTGTCCTTAGTCGATAGTCAAACTCAGACTCAAGAGGAATGGTTTGGCAATGATCCTAAAAATAAAGTTCACAGCACCCTTTTCAATTTCAAAAATGTAAAAACTAAGATAATTATCTATTAATTAATCATTTTAAAATGTGCATAAAGAATACAAAATTATTTACGTAGTAGTTTTTCCATTCTAGATTAATACTATATAAAGAAACACTGTTCAAAATTCCTCTAATTCACCAACATTTTACACTTACATGAACTCGTATAAATTACGATTTTAACGGTGTGGAATAAAATATCACTAAACATAATTAACTCGTAATGAAATAAATTTTTGGAAAACCTTATCTGAAATTAATTAAAAAAAAACTATTTTTCATCTGCTTGCTATATTTGAGTTTGCAGTAATATAAATTACTGGATATTTAAGAAATTGTAATCTTTCCAAAAATATCACTCACCATGTCGTTATTAATAGTTAACACACAAAAAATATAAACAACTAAAAACTGGAAAAAAAAAGAAAGAAGAATACACCACATAATTGATAGTAGAGAATTTGTTCAAAAAAACCATTATATTTTGTCATCTAAATTAGTAATTACTGATTTTAACAGTGATAAAGATCTTAATATTTCAGAAAAATAACAAACCATCTGGGAATTTTTACCTTTTATTTTTGTTTTAATAATGGACAGACAAAACAGTCAATTATATATTGCAGTGTTTGGACAAACCATATATAAACATTATTTTGTTTCCCTCTACCAATCATATTAATCATGTCATCATAAATATTATTAATATCAATGGACATACAAGGTTATTTGTGTGTTCGGCCATGTTTCAGTAGCAAAAACATTTACAAAAAACGCAGATATGAACTAAAAACCTATTTGGATATTAACAGGTCAGTCAGATAGAGTTAAATTCTTATGGAAATCTCTTACCTTCAGTATCTTGATGAATGGTACAAAGTTGCTTCGTTGTAAACCATTCTTGTAAAGATCTGAAAGTTATATTATTAGGTTTCATTTTAGCTGGTGTTTCAAAAATTATTAAACATTTTAACTAAAATTAAATGATGAACCAGAAACACGAATAAAATAATGTTAGGTGAATATAGACAAGTATTACTAAAGGTATAATCATTCAGACTATTATCTTAGGCTTTATTATATGTATTATTATTTTCACAACGGTTCGACCAGTAAATTCTCTGACCATCATCAGGTGTTATATCAGACATTTTTGTATGCATCCCAACCAGAAAGCTTTTTGTGGAATTACCAGGATTAGAACCCCCGAACCTACGATCCCGAATACGGACACTCTAGCCCACTTGGCATTCACTGGTCGAAACGTTGTGAAAATAATAATACACATAATAAAGACAAGAATAATAATACAAATAATTGTACAATTAGTAATACCAACTCCTCGTCTCAATCATTCCACAAAACTACATAGACAAGCATGTTGGTCAGACAAGAACGTTCAGGCTGGAAAAACTTAAGTGATTTCACCATAAAAACCAGTCGTGATACACAAGAAATTTCATTTAAACTAATTCTTCAGCAATAAAAAATAAAAATTTAAAAGAGAACACACACACACATTTAGGTTGGTCTCAAAAATACAAAAAAAATAATTATTATTTAGAAAATATATTTTAATATTAAAAACCATTTTTTGGCCGAATAATAAATAAAAAAAAAGCAATCTTTATCTTTAATACTAATGGACGACAAGATAACACCTGGACCTAAATTACTGTTTAGAAAAAAAACATTCTATTGATCATTAGGAGAAGGAATTTTTCTATAGAAATAGAAAATTATGTAAACAAAATTTAATTAATGCCCATACATAGAAGAAAATGGAATCAATAAAAAAAGTACATTCTACAGTGAAGAAGGAAGGGAATCGATTTTTAATAGCTGTTAAGAATCAATTATAAAATGAAACTCTGCAGTGCAATACTTCATTTTGTAATCACTTCATTAATCTGGTGAAAAATTATGGAGACATTAAAGTTGTTTTTAGGGTTACATTTTTTGGTGTAAGTTAAGCCAAATTTTCCGTTATATCAACCACTTCTTTAGACTTAAAAGATTAACTAAAAATGGCACTTACGTGATTGAGATTTTACACTTTTATGGATTCTACACTGGTAAATTAAAATGTCTTCATTATTTTTTACCTCTTGCTAAATCTAAAAAAAAAAAAACGTGTATAATTTATTTTCTTAAAACAACAATTGCATAACTAATTTAAGCCTTAATAAGAACAATTCTGGAGAGAGGACAAGTCCCTATGAACCCTCAGACAAAACTGTACCTATAGTATCTAAATTACAAAAACATCCACCTACCATCAGGACAACGATTAGATGTGGCTAAAATGATCACACCGTTGTTGAACAGTTCGGTAAAAAGCCTTTTCAAAATCATGGCATCACCAATATCTGTAACCTAATGGCAGAAAATCTCTACTTTAAAATAAAAAAGAAAAATTAAAATTGAAGAATTAAAAACTTCTTTGTAAAAATGCTAATTGAAAACATGAGTGATTAGACTCAACCAACACCAATCAATGTGAACACTATCCATGTCAAAAAATGTATTATTTTTCTTATAGCATACATAAATGTAAAGACAAATTGACCAAAGTCCATATGGTTACATATATATCTGTATTTATACATGTTAAAAGATCTACTGTTTGTTATTTAGTTAGTTTATAAATAGATATTGGGTGAATAGATTCTCTTATTACCTAATATTACACTAATTACCTTACACAATAGCCTACGTCTACACTACCGTGCGTTGGTTACATATATATCTGTATTTATACATGTTAAAAGATCTATTGTTTGTTATTTAGTTATTTTGTAAATAAATATTGGGTGAATAGATTCTCTTATGCCTTAAAAAAGAGAGAGAAGATAAATAATTTTATACTTGTTGCTGTATTAAGAATGAATTCACTAAACGACAGTCTTTTTCAAGATGTACTCAATATAATACTTAGTTTTTCCAGGGTTATGTGAATGTTTTCAATATCATGCAAAGTGTTGTTTTACTATCACGTGTGTTATGGAGGATTATGTGAATGTTTTCAATATCACGGAAAGTGTTGGTTTTACTATCACGGAAAGTGTTGTTTTACTATCACGTGTGTTATGGAGGGTTATGTGAATGTTTTCAATATCACAGAAAGTGTTGTTTTACTATCACATGTGTTATGGAGGGTTATGTGAATGTTTTCAATATCACGGAAAGTGTTGGTTTTACCATCACGTGTGTTATGGAGGGTTATGTGAATGTTTTCAGTATCACGGAAAGTGTTGGTTTTACTATCACGCATGGTATGGAGGGTTAAGTGAATGTTTTCAATATCACGGAAAGTGTTGGTTTTACCATCACGTGTGTTATGGAGGGTTATGTGAATGTTTTCAATATCACGGAAAGTGTTGGTTTTACTATCACGTGTGTTATGGAGGGTTATGTGAATGTTTTCAATATCACGGAAAGTGTTGTTTTACTATCACGTGTGTTATGGAGGGTTATGTGAATGTTTTCAATATCACGGAAAGTGTTAGTTCTACTATCACGTGTGTTATGGAGGGTTATGTGAATGTTTTCAATATCACGGAAAGAGTTGGTTTTATTATCACGTGTGTTATGGAGGGTTATGTGAATGTTTTCAATATCACGGAAAGTGTTAGTTCTACTATCACGTGTGTTATGGAGGGTTATGTGAATGTTTTCAATATCACGGAAAGTGTTGTTTTACTATCACGTGTGGTATGGAGGGTTATGTGAATGTTTTCAATATCACGAAAAGTGTTGGTTTACTATCACGCATGGTATGGAGGGTTATGTGAATGTTTTCAATATCACGAAAAGTGTTGTTTTACTATCATAAAAAGTACAATTACTGGTTTCTTTATTTTACAGCAAAATTTGTAGAGGTGTAATGAGAGAGACTATCAAATTATGTTGGCCTTTCTCTAACAAACTTTTCATAGCCCCACCCCCCAAAAAGAACCCCTAGATCCTAGTTATTTTCATTATTTTACACAGTTGAAGCTTTAACTAACCTGAAATTCATCCAGACATAGAAGCCATGCATCTTCAGTAAGCGACTTGGCAACAGGAGGAATAGGATCATAACTGGCTGGCCGTCGCTGGGTTTTCTCTCTTCCTACCATTTTGGATTTAAATTCGTGAATACCTAATATGAAAATATTACCCAATAAGTACCTAAATTTCATCTGTTTTTCTTGTTTAGGTTACTTATTCATTTCTGATTAAAATATAATGCTAGATTCTCTCTCTCTCTAAGAATTTATACGGTACATAAAATTGGTCATCTCCAACTCTGTACAGATCATCTTGTGGTGTTTACGCTGGGAAACTTACGTGTATGGACATCAAGCATGAAGGAATGAAAGTGGACACGTCTTTTGTTCTTTGTCTCACAGTTGTCATGAAACATGTCCATTAACATTGTCTTCCCTCTACCTATCAGAAGACAAAACTGGACATGTACACACAAACAGAATTTATTCTGTATAAAATTCTTAAAATAACAGCTTCTCAAAAACTCTGAAAGATTAATATAGTTTACTCTGACCAGATTTGTCAGAAGGAAGTGAAACAAATAAGTGAGTGTTGAACAGTAATTTCTACTCAATAATCCTAGTTTGTTTCAAACTACTGCACGATCATATAATTCTAAATCTTGTACACAAGTTGATCAAATGAGAGACTTGTGAAAAAAAATGAACTTTTTATTATCAGTGTGATAATGAAAAATAAAACTATTTTTTAAATAGTTACAACCAAAGCTTTAGATATACCTACTGCTCCATACAAGTAAAGCCCTTTAGGTACCTCAAGCTGCTTGCCAGTTCCGAAGAACTAAAAGACAAAATACTATTATAATCAACAGTTTGAAGACACGTGTTAAAGTAATATTACAAAAGAACAAGCAGATAAATGCAATGTTTTAATTTCAAAGCATTATCATTCTTTACAAAAACTCATTCACTATTTAATGTAATAAAATTTTAATCAAATATGAAAATTAAAAATAGAAAAATTCCAAAACTTGCTCGCAGTTTAGAAATAAAAATTTAAGAGAAATTCTATAAAACATTTTAAATTTTATTTCAAAATGTCTGAGCCATTTTTAAAAATGTTATAACTTGAATCAGTAAACAAAGAAATGCTCTTTACGACCTTCCCTCCCAAATATACTGCACACAAATGGATCCACGATGCATGTGTACATGCTTTCAAGCATTTAATTTAAAAAAAATATACATTAGTTCATATCAAAACAAATAACAGTCAGGAAAAAACTATATTAAAACAAATTTACCTAATCAAAATATAACGAGATTCTTGTGTTTCACTAAGAAAAACATCTTGCTTTACCAATCTTTTGACATTCTTTGAAGATGTTACTGGTTATGTAGATGATGGTAAAGGTGTGAATTTAGTGCATCTGTATCTTCAGAAAGCATTTGACAATGTGCCACATAAAAGGCTTGTAAACAAATTTATCTCTACAAGTGTGGGGGATAAGTTAGCAAATTGGATAGAAGAGTGGCTGGATGGAAGAAAGCAAAGGGTTCATGTAAATGGAGTTCAGTCAAACTGGAATAATGTCACAAGTGGGGTACCTCAGGGCTCAGTCTTAGGACCTTTTGATTTACATCAATAACACAGATGAAGGGATAGTCAATATATTACTTAAATTTGCTGATGATATTAAGGTCTTGTGTGTTGCTAGCTGTGAAGAGGATGCTGCTGATTTATAAGAGGATTTAAATAATTTAGTGAGTTGGGCAAATAAATGGCAGGTGGGTTTTAATTATAATAAATACAAGATAATGCATGTGGGTTATCGTAATTTGAATTATATGTATAATTTGGATGGGAATAACCTTCACAATGTTATGTAAGAAAGGAATCTTGGTGTAATGGTTGATCAGTCTCTTAAGCCATTCGAACAGTGTGCTGTTGCTAGTGGTAGGGCAAAGAGGATGTTAGGTTATTTTCCGGAAATATTGAATACAAGTCTAAAGAGGTTATAATTTCATTGTATAGGTCACTGGTTAGGCCAAATTTGAGGTACTGTGTTCAATTTTTGGATTTTTACCTTAGGAAGAACATAGAATTGTTAAAAAGGGTTCAGAGAAGGGTTACTAGAATGATACCTGGGATGGTTTGTTTGTTTTGAATTTCGCGCAAAGCTACACGAGGGCTATCTGCGCTAGCTGTCCCTAATTTAGTAGTGTAAGACTAGAGGGAAGGCAGCTAGTCATCACCACCCACTGCCAACTCTTGGGCTACTCTTTTACCAACGAGTAGTGGGATTGACCGTCACATTATAATGCCCCCATGGCTGAAAGGGCGAGCATGTTTGGTGGAATGGGGATTTGAACCCGCGACCCGCAGATTGCGAGTCGAGCTCCCTAACCACCTGACCATACCGGGCCAATACCTGGGATGGAAATGTTGTCAAACAAGGATAGGTTAAAACTGTTTTCTCTTGACAAAAGAAGAGTTAGAGGGCATCTAATTGAGATGTTTAAGACTGTTAATGCAGTAAATTTAAAGGAAGAATTGATAACTATTTAAATGATAAGGGCTGGCTTTAAGGTCTTTTTTTTTAAAGTGAATGGGATGGCCTAGATGATCTAATAAGTCCCTTGTCGTTTCAGTTAATTTTTATGTTATGTTAGTACGAAAAACTAATTTAGAAACTAAAACACATAGGTGTTACAGCTCTGTAATAAATGTTTTTAGTTAAACCTCTTTAGTCATGGATTATAATTATCAGAATCATACAGAAGTTACTTTTTGAAAAAATCCTTGCTTTGGAGGAGTGTAGCCTTTTATTTTAATGTTCAGTTCTTGCAAATAATTAACAATATTTTCCTGATGTTCATCTGGAAGCAGCTGTCCAGTTTCAACCTTATGCTGATAGAGGGCCACCAGGTTACCTAAATGACAAATAAAAGTGCAGAAGGAAAATGACCACGAGACTTCTGGACAAAATATTACGTTTATTCAAGATTCCAGTTTACAGCTTTTCTACGAATGTTGTATAAAAAAACAACTTTAAATGACATGCAAAAATTATTCTATTTATTTCTATAGCTCAGTTGTTGGAAATTTCTCAACTTTACTGTAATAAGATAATATAATAACAATCATTACCTTCTTTGTGCTATATTAATAAGGTTATTGGATGAGAGGAGTCAACTTTAAGGTGTGGAAAATTCAGGCTAGGTTCCCGTTATTAGTTTCATTTCTGTAACTGTCTCACGGAAAGAGTTACCCTTGGCAATAGTGGAGACCAATTCTTTACAAGGGGGGGTTAAAACACGGATGGAGTTCAAAATGTGCATGTCACGACCTTTAGCAGAGTGCCATTCAACAGGATATTTTGAATGTTAGTTATCATATGAATCGTTGATAACTCTGACGTCATGTACTTTGCTGACTAAACGGTACTTGGTAGTATAGGAGAGAGAATATCAGATATAATATATAGTGGTACTGAAAAACAAACTCAAGATATACATTTCAGAGATTCTATAGGTTATGCAAGTACAATATGTAAACTGTATGGTGGACAAAAGTATTTTTAGCCTTCACGGGTAATCACGTCGTCAATGTGTGAATCAGACTGGCATCATTGATATAGACTTACTTCAGTACAAATACTTTTGTAACACCTCTAATTTATACACAACAGACATTTCACTAAACGCTTTTCATGTTCTATGTAGATATACCGATTAAATTCCAAATTATAGTCAACATTCCTTCTTTAAAATGGAGTCAATATATATATCCAAGGACAGCCTTAAAGGACTGAACAGTCTCTTAGTCATTGTTCATATGTTGTGTAATAATGTTATATTTTGGAAGATAAAGTATACGGACGTGAAGTTCAAACCAGACATTCCTGACAAAAAACTGTGGTACTTCCTGTATGTTTGATTGATCACATCTGAGCTCACTTAATCAAATCCATGTATTGAAAATAAACTGATAGTTAAACGCTTCAGTGTTTTGATCTTTTTCAAAAGTACATGTTTTAAACAGAATAAATCTTTTATAAAGAAACCCTTTTTTTAACCACTGCTTTAAAACTAACAGATTTCTACCTGTATAGAAAGATGCATTTCCTCCATCTTGCTCAAAGATTGGTTGTTTGTTTGTTATTATTATTATTACACAAAGTTTCAAAGTACGCATACGAACCGAGTCTTTTACATCATGAAGTGGATCTATTTATTCAACAGAATTTTATTTCTTTGGCAGTTATAAAGAAAAGTTTATTTTTATTCTCCAATATAATTTGAAATTTTTAAACGTGTTGTAACAGATTTCACCTTAATCAACTTATACACTTTGGGAAGAAAGTAGTTTTTGCATGAAAATTTCACTGGTGTGATGTGAAGAGAAAGATTCAGCTTTGGTAGAAACTTAAGAAAGAGATCTTGGTTTACTTTAGTTTAAGAACATGACACTTATTGTTCTTAATGCTTTGAAGATTGTACAAGGTCCTAATGAAACCTTACTTGGAGTACTATTTAGTTTTGGTCCTTTTACTAAAAAAAAAAAGCTATTAACAGGTTATAAAATATTAACAGCCATGATACTTAGGTGATTTTGGGTTTAAGAAGATTAAGCTAAAAGAAATAACTTACAAGAGTAGAATTTACTTACTCGGCAATATAAGGGATTCGAGATAAATTAAATAAGATGTTTACATTTTTACAGTTTAATTAGTACTTCTGTGGTTTATATGTCTGTTTGGGAGTAGGAAAGAATATGAAATTAATAACTTTAAGCTTAATTAATTTTTTAATTAGTTATAAACTTATGAAATAATTTACCTAATGATGAGATATGTGATGCTATTTTGAATGATATTAAATTGTTACTGTGTTTTATGTGAATGTGATAAACAACATTTAGTTTATTACGTTATGGTTGATCGTTAAATTGGGTGAGCAGTGGGTAATCTTTTGTCTTTCTTTTAATATAAAGAAAAAATGGGACAATTTGGTCCTTCTTTCAAGACTATCTTTTCATACCTATACTTGATAAAAACTTAAACCCACCCTTTATTTTTCAAGAAATCATCAATTTCCTTATCAAATTCCTGTATATTGCTAGCCTAAAAATTAATTCTAAAAGCCAATCATCCTGTTAGAAAATAAAACTGTCTTAAATAGAGCCCAGCCTTTATTTACCAAATCTTAAGCTTGTGTCCACTCATCCTATTATTTTCAGAAAACAGTGCAAACAAATCAGAGGCCTGTATTTTATTGATACCCTATATAATCTTTCAAACATTAATAAGATCACCTTTTACTTTTTTTTCTGAACAAAAATAAAAGATATTCCATCCCGAGAATCATCCTAAGAGTTCTCTTATTAATTCTTTCCAATAAGTCAAAATTTTTCTTAAAAAAAAAAGACCAAATTTGTACACAGTAATCCAAGCGAGGCCTAACTAGTGATTTGTATAGACATAATTACCTGTTTTGACTTTGATCAATATGTCTATAAATACACCATAATATTCTATTACATTTACTGGTAGCAACAGAAAAACACCTTGATGGCTTGAGTGACTTATCTACCACTGTGACAAGGTCCTCTTTTCAGTCAAATTAACGCTTTCCCATCTAGTTAAATATGCGATTCAAATTATGATAATCAAAATTCATAACCTTGCATTTCCTATAACTAAAAGTTACTTGTTAAATCATCCTGTTGAACCTCAGCAACTTCAATACAGCTAAAAATACCAGAAAATTAAATGTTGCCTGCAGACTTTACTAATTATGCCCATTTTATACCATAAATGTAAATAGGTAAAAGAAAAGGTCCAAGAAAAAGCTGCTCCTACTGGTTTTAAATAATCCAATAGCAATGTCAGAGAGAATTAGTGACATTTTTGAAATACAGAGTGAAATGGAAAGGTTGTGTTATGTGGGTTTCACATTTTTTTTATATCTCAGTAAAACAAAAAGACTAGAGATTCTAATTTTATATTCTGGTTTATAGGTATTTATATTATGTGTTTCTAATTAGTTGAACATTAAAAAAAAACATACCTGAGTAGAAGGAAAATGTAAAATGAGCAGTTTGAAGCATGGATGCATCAGGTGACACAGAGAAATGACTGAGAATTTATTTAATATTTCCTTTTGAAATAAAAAACAACTAAAAGTAAAAATGTGAATTATGGAGAACATTTTGATGCCAAGCTTACTGATAATAAAGTTATTTAATTAAATTTTAAATATAACTATAAAAATGTTGTGACATGCACACTTTCACCCTTCTGTATACATAGGGTTAATAGCCATTTTACAAACCAGATTCACAGAACACAATAAAAAAACCGTCCCGTGTTTTTCACCATTGCAACTCAAAAAACCATAGTATATCTATTAAAAACATAGTAATTTTAAACAAAGAACCCAACATA